TGCTAGTATACAACATAGTTACTTATAGTTAAAAATATGGTATTGTACACTTACGAAATATATTAAAAGGATAGAGCTCATATTAAATGTTCCTACAAAACACACACACAGCCCTAGCTTGTTTGGATCAGTGGATAGAGCATTGGCCTATGGACGGAAGGGTCCCAGGTTCAATTCCAGTTAAGGGCACATGCCTGGGTTGTGGCCTCGATACCCAGTATGAGGCGTGCAGGAGGCAGCCAGTCAATGATTCCCTCTCATCATTTATGTTTCTATCTCTCTCTTCCTCTCCCTTCCTCTCTGAAATCAATAAAAATATATTTAAAAAATAAAAGAATAACTGAAGGTTGAGGGAAAAAACAAGCCAATAAATTGGAAACTATTCCATAGCTATATCTAATGAATGTTTTAAGTTTTTTACAGTTGCACAATAGTCCACTGTGTTGTTATACCGTTATTTTACAATCCTCTGTATGTGGACATTGTATTTTAATAGTTCACTTTAGAAATATAATGTTGCAATGAATAATTTTTTTTTTTTACTACAAGCGAACATTTATAAAAGCTGGGGACAGTGAAACAAGGAAGTGCTTAGCATAGAGGAAGCAACAATAGAGACCTAGGCTGGTCTGCCTTAGTTCTCTGGGAAGTCAGAGGAAAGAGGGCCTTGGAGATGGTTTCATATGGTTAGCCCTGGATGAGCTGCTGCTGCCTATTGCTCTCCTAAATGCAAGTCTCCCGATGTCCTTTAGAGTTTATGAGATGCATGCCTATGAGGAAGAAGTGGGCGAAGAAGAGGGGGAAGGGAATGGCGTGGGCATGCTTCCCAGAGAGAGAGTGTGCCACAAAGACTAATTTCATATACCTGTTACTTTACACTCATGTAGGATAAATTACTAGATGTGTATATAGCAAACATAGCATACTTGCAAAGTGTTAGGATTTTAGAAAAACCAACAAGAAGCCGAAACCGGTATGGCTCAGTGGATAGAGCGTCGGCCTGCGGACTGAAAGGTCCCAGGTTCGATTCCGGTCAGGGGCATGTACCTGGGTTGCGGGCACTTCCCCGGTGGGGGATGTGCAGGAGGCAGCTGATCGATGTTTCTCTCTCATCGATGTTTCTAACTCTCTATCTCTCTCCCTTCCTCTCTGTAAAAAATCAATAAAATATATTTAAAAAAAAAAACCAACAAGAAATGATGCAGACATCCAAAACTAGCAACAGTATGGAGCCATTTCCATTGCTACGCCTAAAAGGACAAGGAGATGAAACCATCATCGGAACTTGAAGATAGTAACTATGGAGAGAGTCACCTGACTGTATACTGCTGGCACTTTCCATTAGCTTCCAACCAGAAACCAAAAGATAAGAACCCACTGCTGTGGTCCATTTGGGTCACCCTCCTCGGACACAGAGCTAGGGGGAGAGTAGAGCTAGGGGGAGAATATCCAGCTCAATAGATAACATCAGTTAGTCCTACATAGAGACCATACCATTTGTCACCCCTACCATTAAGTCTTCAAAATCTTTTTTGAGAGTAATGAAGAAGCCATCACCAAACCACTTTTTTTAATCTGAAGATTTCCTTAATATGTTTAGTCACAAAACTAGGATCTCATTTTTATGATAATGACCTGGAAACCCTTAAAATCATTCATCATTCATTGATTATCCTGAGACTGCATACAAAGAAAAGACAGGCAAGTGGATTCACAAACCTGATATAAAGGTTTTTGACACTGAGCATCCTTAGGAAGAATTAGGGCAATTTTACTGATCTTATGAAGCAACATCACTGCTGTTAAGAACGTGTGTGGATACTTGTAACAGTGAAAACTCTGAGACAATCTAAGTGTCTAATAGGAAGATTAATAAAATTATCCTATGAACAAAATAAGTATCAGAAAGAAAATTAAGTGTATGTAAGAAAAACAAAAGGGATCTGACATCTACGCTAATAAAAGAGAAACATGCAAATTGGTGTCACTCTGCTATGCCCACCAGCCAATCAGAGTGACTGTGCAAATTAACCCAACAAAGATGGTGGTCTTATACATACACACACACACTTAGTGGCCAGAGTATTATGACCATCTGATGTTTGTAGACAAATTAGCTATAATTTTGCACTGAAGTTGCTAGAGGGCCAGACCATTATAAACGTCTGAATAGCACAACATACCTCATTATCGTTGCTGATCAAGTTCATCCTATCATGTTGATGGCGTATCCCAATGGAGATGGCTTCTTCCAACAAGACAATGGCCATGCCACGGTGTTCCTACTGTGCAGGAGTGATTTCAAGAGCATGAGGGAGACTTTACCTTTCTTAGGTGGCCCCAACAATCACCAGGTCTCAATCCAATTGAGCATATGTGGGACAAAGTTAAAAGAGCCATCAGGCAGCTGGTATTCATCAGGCATAGTATCAGATTCTTCGCATCACCTTTCAACATCTCATGGAGTCAATGCCAAGAAGAATCGCCACAGTATTGAAGGCAAAAGGTGGCCCAACAAAGTACTGATGGGTGGTCATAATAATCTGGCCGGTCATAATAATCTGGCCACTCGGTGCATATATTGGATAGGGCAAGCAGAATAGGAAAAAATTCAAAGATAATAAAAAAGCTTTTTTGAAATGAAGACCTAACTCTGAAAGATCAAATTCTCTTACACAAGATTCTCTTATAATCTAGGAAATACTTGTAATTATTGACCCCAGATATGTGTGGTGAATTTATCAGAATTCAAAGGTAAATAAAAGCTTATTGGGGAGGGGGTTCATTTTTCAAAATGTAAGTCACCAGACAAGGGCAAAAATCAGTCTTGGCTCAGATACCTCCACAGTAAAAATAAATACTGGAAGACTGAAACAATATTTACAACGCTCTCAGAGATAGAAACTTTACACTAACCCAATATGATATTCAAGCATGAAAACACAAATAGACATTTTCAAACATGTAATAACTGGAGGGAATATAGCATCCATGAGCTTTTCTTTAAAAAGGACATAATCATAAAACCAGGAAACCAACCAATAAAGAGCCTAGACGTAGAGCAGCCATGGTGGAAAAGAAATAATAGTGTGACATAAGCCACATGGCAGAGTAAGAATATTCCTTTGTTTCTATCCTTAAATTTACAACAAATCAGACAACTATAACTCAACAAAGGATTCCCTGTTCAACACAGAAACATACCTGAATGATTTACCCAATGGTACATCTAAAGGTAGGCCTATTGGAATGAGATATGGAAACAAGACAAGGAAAAGGACAGAGATGATGGCTGCAGGCACAGTTAGGTGCCCACTGCAGCCCCAGAGAGAATGGTAGTAATGGAGAAGTCGAGCTACATCCCTCACACTACCACCTAGAGCAGTGGTTCTCAACCTTCTGGCCCTTTAAATACAGTTCCTCATGTTGTGACCCAAATATAAAATTATTTTCATTGCTACTTCGTAACTGTAATGTTGCTACTGTTATGAATCGTAATGTAAATATCTGATATGCAGGATGGTCTTAGGTGACCCCTGTGAAAAGGTCGTTCGACCGCCAAAGGGGTCGTGACCCACAAGTTGAGAATCACTGACCTAGAGTATAAGAGGTTCAGAAGCAGTGTTCCTCAGAGAAAAGGCATCTCCCTTCCTCCCTTCCCATCATGGCAAACCCCAGTAGAGGTGGCTGGGAAGTCTTAGACAGTACAGTGGTGCCAACAGCCATTGCTGGCAGAGGATGGAACCACAACATGGCAAACTTTCCACCCATCCAAACAGCCAGGTAGAGAAAGCTGTACAATAGTGCCTACAGTGATTGCTGGCAGAGAGGTGGAGCCATAAGATTGCAACTTGCCTCCCTTGCCCCATCAATTCTATTAGCAGTGGGGCCAGTGACCATTAGTGAAAAGGAAATAGTTCTAGGAGCTCACAAAGCCAGTTCTCCATTGCCTGCCACACCAGTTCTCTATTCCCCCCATTACAGTGGTGATGCCCCATAACCCAAGCAAGCCAGTCACAGAGGACACCCATTATCCCAGTGCATACATGGCATTTTCCTTAACTGAAATAATACCAAGCCACTGTAATCCCAGAGGCACAAACAGTGCAAGTAAGAGAAAACAAAAACTTGTGCTATAACACCATCTACTGGCGGGGGGGGGGGGGGGGG